CTACTGAGCCATCTCCCCGGCCCCTCATATGTATTGTTGTATGTTACCCTGTTTCTTTTTTCCTATTTGTTTTTGCCTCTATTTTTACTCTTCAAAATAAAATAAAATTTTAAAAAACATCTCAAACATTTAATTAATAACTTATTGATGCCATGCCAGCCCCACCCCGTGATGTACTGAGACAGTGAATGAAATGAGACCCGGCATGGTGGCATGCACCTGTAATCCCAACACTTGGGAGGCTGAAAACAAGTGGATTACTAGGAGTCCAATCTGTGTAGTGAGACCCTATTGGTCCTGAACTAAAATACATGAAAAAAATTAAATAATAACATCATTGAGAAACCAATGGAAATTTTAGTGGAAAAAAATGCAACACATTGGGTTTCTCTATCCTACAGTACAGGGTGAAGACCAGCAAACTATGACTTACAAGCTAAATTTCATTTGTTTGCATAAATACAATTTTATTGGAACAGCCATGCCCATTTATTTATATACTGTTTATGGCTGTTTTCATGCCACAACAACAGAGTTAAATGATGTAGTTGCCAGAGTACTCTAGAGTCCATATGGCCCACAGCCTAAAATATTTACTATCTGGCCCTCAGCAGAAAAATTTGCTAATCCTTGATAAACAAGTATACTCACTTTAATGCAGAGAATGAGGATGAAAACCAGCCTGATAAAATGAAATTTGTGAATTATAAAATGTTTGAGTTCCAATTAGGATACACATATTATAAAAGAACTAAATAAAAGTTAAGAACTATACCTAAATGAACTACTGTGACTCAAGACAAGTTTTTTTTGTTTTTTTTTTTCCGGAACCGGGGATTGCACTCAGGCCCTTGTGCTTGCCAGGGAGGAATTTACTCTACTGAGCCATCTCCCCAGTCCAAGACAAGTTCTTGAAAATGGAAAAAAAATTATTTCAAAGTTTTTGTGGGATGCTGGGCATGGTGACAAGTACCTATAATCCTAGCACTTGGGTGGCTGAGATGGGCTGATTACCAGGATTCCAAGGCCAGCCTGGGCAATGTGGTGAATTCAAGGCTGGTCTGAATTACATGTGAGACTCTATCTCAAAAAACTCTTTATGAGGGCCAGGGAGATAGCTCAGTAGAATAAGTATTTGCCTGACAAGCGCAAGGTCCTGAGTTCAATCCCCGGTACCACAAAAAAATTTTTATGGGATAAGAATCACATTTTACATTTTTACTTTTGAAAATTTCTGATTAAAAGGGCTGTAATTTATTTGATCTGTATCTAAAATTCTACACTAAATAACAGCTAGAATTCAAATAAACATATTAATCCTCCTATTAAGCTAATAAATTCATTAATAATGTTAAAAGGGTCAATAGGGGCTGGTGAGATGGCTCGGTGGTCTGAAGCACCTACTTGGAACAAGCTTAGCAAAAGCACAGGGACCACGGTTCAATCCCCCAGCACCACATGCCAGCCAGCCCCGCCCCCTGGTGGGCTGAGCTGGCCACACACACACATACACATAAATAAATAAAAT